GAAGCCTTTGATGTATATGACTTATGTCAATACGTTTCTGTTTTTGTAGTGCATTGGTCTTTTGTAGAGATTTTTCATTTATTTTTTATATATTCTATTGTGTATTCCTTGGATACTTTTATTTGTTCTACTGAACGATTTTCTGGCAGGGGGGGGTGCCAGCTAAAATCTCGCCTAGGGCAGCAAATTGGTTAGAACCGGCCCTGATGGTGTAGGAAATGGGCTCCGTGTTACAAGACGGGTCGGGGGTTTGGCGGTACCACTGCAGACTCTCTGCACACACACACACACACACCGCTGCAGACTCTCTGCACGAAGGAGCCACGGTGCTGCAGCTCCTGATCGGAGCAGAGACACACGTTCACTAAGCGGAAAAACGATATCCTGTCACAGAGATCTGCTATTTTAAATTTTAAAGTCAACACATATCGACCCTAAATAAAGTCTATATTAAGAACGAGAGATGTTTTGACATTATGGCTTAAACAAATGACAAATGAGCGAGGGCGATGACGTCAGAGCATCGTCCTATGTGCCGGGGCTGAGCCCCGGACAACCCCGGCCCAATTTAACCCCTGGTTAGAGGCCCTATTTTATCAGTATGTCTGGACTGCACAGCAGTTACAATGGTCAAACTACATTAGAACAGAATTGTCCCCATTTTGTCTTTAATAGTTACTAACATTAGATATTTTAATGAGATATAGACCGCAAAACAAAAAATTTCCCTGATTTTCATTTTTGAAATTAAGTCACCGAATGCAAGTAGTCGCCTTAGCTTATTTTGTTATGAGATGTGAATTACTGTTCGATTTAGTTGATGTAATAATCATTTGGTTTCTTTTACATTAAAAAAATGTCTTATGTTTTTTTTTCGGGGGGGAGGCCCTTTTTCCAGTTTAGAGCAATAGCCCCTCCAAACGTCTGTGCACGTCCCTGGATAGGTGTGTGGGCTGTCTTTCATTTTGACACAAAGAACAATGGGGCCTATCCACCCTTATCCACAATGTAAAGTAATTCACACAGCCTCTTCCCTCTTCTCTCTGTGAGGAGCAGCAGGTTCAGCTTTCAGACCAAAGTAACACAAAACTAAAATGGCATTAATTTTTTTAATATGTCGTGTAGTAATAGATTTATTTATTTTTCTTCTCAAGAGAGTAACAGAATGTGTATTTTATGTTAGTAGCCTATTTCAAAACTAAAACAAAAAAAATCTCCTGGAGGGGTTGGGTTTTCAGCATGTCAACTCTTTCACCTGTGGAGAGATTGCAGGATTGGCTCCAGGTCGCCCTTTTTATTTACTACAAGACAAATGTGCCTTTTTATTTCATACAGTTCAATTTGGATTGAGACAGGGAAATAATCTAAACCTCACGCGTGGCGTTTCACTGTCAAGGGGAGCGGGTATGTAATTACATTGCAAATACTGACATGAGCCCCACCACTGTATGGGTTAGCCCTACCATAGATTACCCAACAAAAATACTCTCTCGCAACTGCCAACCCGTATTGCGCATGCTCAGATCTAAGAACCAGTAGAAATGATAAAAAAGTAAAAGTCTGCTGCTTATTGTTCTACTAGGCCAAAATAGAGTCAAAGAGTATATGAGAGTGAGAGTGTGTTAATTAATATATTTGGCAGTTTGGAGTAAGTCTGTAGATTTGTTTGTGTGTGTGTTTCATGTATAGCTCTCATGATAATTAATTTTGTTGGATACATTTTCCCGGAAATTATTGCGATAAACGATAATATTGCCAGCACCGTTGTATGACCATTTTAGGCCACTGACATAATGATAATATATAATAATAATTCAAGTACATCCTTTCAAACTGCTAGTCACATCCTCATGTAAATGGCAATTTATCGAGTTCATTTTTATTTATCGTACGATACGTCAATGAATTGCTTATCGCGACAGGCACACAATAAAACAGTGGAAACAAACATGTGTTTGACTTTCAATAGTGAATGAACCTTTGTGCCTTTTATAGTCTGTGTCCAATATTGTGTATTTGTATATATTGTATATATATCCTATATATAGGCTATGCTAAGGTCCTGCTGCTGACACGATAGCAGTCATTTCGTGGGCATATGTCATTAAACCCATGATATCAAAATCTCACTCCAGCCAGGTACCCAAAGTTGGCAACCCTGTATTAAGGTACATCGCCACTTTCCAAACCATTGATGAATGCTTGTGTACACAAAAACGGCAGGCAAAACCGTTTTAAATGAGTGTTTCCTGTATGGCGAATACAGCTGCTTTATTTATGTCTGTATGAAGTTGTTGTGAGTGTGGAGGGAGCAGCTAGGTTAGCTTAGCCTAATCGATCAGTGCACTACGAAGCCAGTGCTAGACAGTGACCTGTTAACGGGGGGGGGAGCCCCGCCGGTCATTATCGGCCGATATTCACTCTTAATAGTTTGATCGGTGCTCTCTATAAAGGCCGATCAGGAGAGCTGGATCTGATCGATATGGACATAAACGCGAGTGAAGTATAACCGGACGCGAGAGAGAGATCAGATCAGCTGCTGAGTCTGATGGAGACACGCTGCTCTGCATGATCACCTGAAGCTCCGTCCTCTGTTTAGCGAGCTGACCGGACTGCGCAAAATGCGTATATGAAGTAATCTTACCCTCGTGGGGGCGCGCTCATGTGATTGGCTTAGAATGAAGGAGACATCTGATTGGCTATAGATAGAAAAAATTACAAGTACGAATCGGCTGACCGTCAGGGGAGTCTAAAAAAAACCCACACACGAATGCAAAGCGATCCGTGCACAGAAAGCTGTTTGTGTTTGCAGGTTCAGGGGATTTAAACGGGAAACTAATAAGTGAGGATAAAAAATACATATATAAAACTTTTTTCTGTATTTGGATTTTATTTACATGTATATGAAACGGAATACATTTGTGTGTGCATTGAAAAACACAAGTATGGATCCGGAAATACAAGTTTGAATCCTTCTGTGTGCATGTGTGTATTATGAGACTGTTCTGAGCCCATAGTAAACTAGCAATATGACTTTTTCAGAGTTTCAGAGATGTTTTCAACAGTTGCTAAATGTTTGTTCTGATTACGGAGTCAAATTTGACGTTAAATACAATGCTAAGAAGAGCGCTGTAATGATCTGCAGAGCAAAAGGGGATAAGAACCTTTGTTTTCCAACATTCTATCTATCAGGACAGGTGCTGTCTGTTTGCTGTAACACTAAGTATCTGGGACACATCATCACAGATGAAATGGCTGATGATGATGACATGTATAGACAGCGGCGTGTCTTATATACAAGCCAACATGTTGGCTAGAAAATTATCTTGGTGTTCAGATAAGGTTAAGGTGAACCTCTTTAGAGCTTATTGTATTCCTCTCTATACTGCCCTCTTGTGGGTCAAGTATAAGAAGGCGAGCCTCCAGAAGCTCCACGTTGCATATACTGCTTAGAAAACCAAGGTGGTGCAGTGCAAGTGAAATGTTCTGTAATGCACGAGTCAACACGTTCCATGCTCTTTTGAGAAATCTGATGTACACATTCATCTGTCGATTGAATGTTTCTCATAACTCTGTCATTATGCTGCTGTCAAATCCGTGTCTCAGTGCTGTACGATACCAGTCACCTCTGTGGAAACATTGGTATAACTGCCTTTTTTAATTTATATTTGAGTGTTGTATGTCTTGTAATAATGGACCAAGAGTCTCTTTAAATAAAGATGATGATGATGAAAGTATGGTAAATAAATGGCTAGATGGTAATGGTAATGGTAAATCATGGTAATATTACTAAATCTAGTACTGCCTTATGAGTCTCAGAGTGAAAGTGTGATACTAATTTATATAGCACCTTTCATGCATGGCATTCAGCCCAAAGTTGCACACAGATGAGCAAGTTAGGCCAACACAGGATATAGACATTTGCTGTTAGGCCAGCTGTTTGTTGTTAGGCCAATTCAATATACAGTAAGATGAGCAAGTCTTTTTATTATTATGAAAAACACTTTACATTAATTTTTTTCAATTGTTTATTTTTCCAATTATAATTTATTACCTTTTATGAATATATCTGATTGTATATATTGCTCATTTTCCATAAAAGAAACAAATGTACTTGAGTTTGTGTTTTATTTGAGTTTGATGCATACAAATACTGTACTGTATATGATGATTGTTGAAAATGAGAGGCTCATAAAAACAAAACTGTGTGGTCAGTCAAAACAAATACAATTGTTTGTGGTTATTTGTGGCCCATTTGATAAGAAAATGCAAAAAAATTATTGTTCCATAGCTTTTTTCTTGGTCTGGCAGTTAAAGGGTTAAAAGGCTTTTATTTTTTTAAGACAGTTACCGGAAGTAGTTATCGTGTATGTTTGATACCGACCAGCGCTGATACAGACCATAGATACATAGATATATTGAAAGTACATATGAATTGAAAGTACATATTGCCTGAGATCTCATGATGTTGTTTTATTAAATGTGCCAAGTGCTAGGACTGTCTTAGGGAAGAAAGCTTTTAGTTGTGCAGCTCCACTAAATTGGAACAGTCTGCAAACATGTTTAAAACTGAGCACTTTGGTTCCCCTGCATCATTTTAAAACTCGGCTGGGTGACATGCTGTTTGATACTCATGGTACCTGGCACTGTAAATAGAGTTTGTAAACTGTACCCTGTACATTATGTTGTATGTCATCCTTATTGTTGTTCTGTTGTTTTTATGTTACATGTGTAACTAATGTCCTGCAGGTCACCCTTGAAAAAGAGATCTTTTGATCTCAAGGGGCTTTCACCTGGTTAAATAAAGGCTACAAACCGACACAGCTCGCATACAATGCATGTACTTCAAATGTCTATTTTCTTCAATCATGACGCTGCATATTTTAATAACAATTCTCAAAAAAATATATAATAGTAAATGAATAAAAGACAGTAAACATTTTAATGTTTATAATCTGGTGCTACCGCTTCGACTCCGTTTTATTACCGGAAACGGCACCATTTCCGGGTTCAGACGCGCCAAAAAGAAAACAGTTGCGTGTGTCGTCTGCAACATGTGAGAGAGGAGTGGACACTTGACATAAACACAACGGTAACGTAACCTCGATACTGTTGTTCCGATGACTCTTTACTGACAATGACTCCTGGAAAACTTAAACCCACTACCTAAAATAACGTTAAAGTGAATAATATTACAAGTCAACGTTAGGGCGTTGAAGTCAGTGTAAGGTTGGATATTCGTTTCAGTTAGGGTTAGGGACCATCAATACATGTATTTCAATGTCTCAAAACCAATGTTATTTCAATATCTCTGTGCCTATATTAGTGACAATTATTCTTTAAAAATATAATAAATTGGCTTTATGTAGCACATGGATTACTGGTCGTTGAATTGTATTATTTCCTCATTTTAAAGAAGATAATTTCAGTTGTATACAAAAACTTCCATATCATATGATCTGATGACTCAATGGGGAACTGTGTTACTAGATTGAACATAAAGGCCACATTTCTATTATTTGTCTCGATTTTATATGAATATTGTTATGAAAATGTTACTGTGTCTTGATTGAAAAGTCACATTTATGCAAATGCTTCATTGTCATGTAATGTGACCCAGTGATTCAAAATCAATGCATTGTAGATTATTAATACATTGGATAAGTAGGACACAACTCTTTTTATTGGATTTGTATCTACCGTCTGTTTTCTATGAACATTTTAATGAAATTGGTGCATTTCCTTTTAAATTCTTATTTATGTTATAAGTGTCCATCTCATGAAGACCAGTGACTCCAAATCGTTACCAGATATTATTACTACACTGGGGAAATATCTAGGTCACATTTTAAGATTGGAATTCAGTTTATTTTTATTTTGTAGGATTATTGTGATCATATACAAAGTGTATGGATTTGATGCATTGCACACACATTATTTTATTATTGTATATGGGATTAAGGTAAATAACAGACACACCTCTTTATATAAAAGGCTGCAAAGGCTGGTCAGTATAGGCATGTCCAGCCATGCAGTGGGGTGGTTTGTAAACTACCTCTCTGAAAGATCCCAATGTGTTCAGTTTGATGGGCTGTCTTCTGAGTGGTTAAACATCACTAATGGTGTACCACAAGGTTCAGTTTTAGGTCCGCTATTATTCTCTATCTATATTAATAGTTTAGGTGAAAATGTCGAAGGAGCAACCTTACATTTTTATGCGGACGATACCGTTATGTACTGTGCAGGTCCCTCGATTAACGAGGCTGTTGTTAAATTACAGGCTGTTTTTAACATTATTTAGGCTCAGCTCTCTGAGCTTAAGCTTCTTTTAAATGTGGATAAAACCAAGGTAATGCTCTTTTCTAAAGCTAAAGCTAAAAATACACCAGAGACTGCTTTGGATATTGTAACTACGCAAGGAATACAACTTGAAGTGGTTACCTGTTACAAATACTTGGGTATCTGGCTTGATGATTGTCTCACTTTTAAACTTCATGTCAATAACCTGCTTAAAAAGCTGAGGGTTAGGCTAGGTTTCTTTTACAGAAATAAGTCCTGTTTCTCGCTTGAGGCCAGGAAAAGGCTAGTCACGGTGACCTTTTTACCTGTGCTGGACTATGGTGATTTGTTATATATGAATGCACCTGCCAATTACCTGAGCAAGTTAGATGCTGCGTATCACAGTGCACTGAGATTTTTGACAAATTGTAAAGCACTTACGCATCACTGTACCCTGTATACCAAGGCGGTTATGCCATCACTTACTGTACGGAGGCTCAGTCACTGGTACTTTTTCATTTACAAAGCCATGTTGGATAAACTACCATCTTATATCTGCTCCCTGATCTCTCTGCGAATTGAAAGTACTTATTGCCTGAGATCGCATGCTATGGTTTTATTAAATGTGCCAAGTGCTAGGACTGTCTTAGGGAAGAAAGCTTTTAGATGTGCAGCTCCACTAACATGGAACAGTCTGCAAAAAGAATGGAAAATTACCAAGCTAGTACCACTACATGTTTTTAAAGCTCGGTTGGATGCTACAAAATCAGATGCTGTTGGTACCTGTACTTGTGGTTAAATATGTAAATTGTAATCCCTGTACATTTTGCTGTATGATGTCCTTTTGTTGTTCTGTTGTTTATGTCTTCTTGTGGAACCTACTGCTGCAGGTCTCCCTTGAAAAAGAGATCATTGATCTCAATGGGATTTTACCTGGATAAATAAAGGTTTTGAATTGAATTGAATATAATATTATTATGATTATTATTATTATATATAAACCAGGTTGAAGGATGAGAGGGGGACCGAAGTTCAAGCATCCACTCTGTTGAAGTTGCCTTTAGCAAATCACTAAACTTCTAACAGTACGAGGAAGGTGCTGCATTGTAGCTGACCTCTGACCTTGTTTGTAATGACACATGTTGCCCCTGTGGTTGTAATAAAGGGTTGTTAATCGATTCAAGATGAGTAAGTGGGGAGAGCGGATGAAGAAGGTGGAGCAGCTCGCTCAGTCCTTCCAGCTGAATCCTCTGGCCGCACAATACAAACCTCGGCTGTGGCCGTGCCAGCCGTCCTCCATCTGGAAGCTCTTCCCTCGTCAAAGTATGGCGATCAGCTTCGCTCAGAGCTGCAAGGAGGTAATAAAACGAGACTTATTATCATTGGTCTGCACATTTAAGATTGTACATCCTGTGTGTCAGGGGAAATCTGATGCTGGCACTTTGCATTTCCTAGGCTGTACATGTGTTTGCACTTGAAAAAGAAAAGACATCCCTGGGTCAAAGGATCTTCCTGGTGACCAGCTACAGTGAGCTGTGGCATTACTACAGGTAAATAACAAACATTTCAAAATGAGGTTCATCTTCTTCCGTGTGTGAAGAAAACAATGTGCATTCATTGTGATTTTCGTTCAGGACTTACCCACAGTCCTTGATGCACTGCTACGAGGTGATACCAGAGGGCGCTGTTAGTAAACTTTACTTTGACTTGGAGTTCCACAAGCCTTCAAACCAAGGGGCTGATGGGAAATCCATGGTCTCTTCACTTATCCAGGTGGGGTACTTTTCACATCCTCATTGACAAAAGGTCTTACTATATTGTGTTTTAATCGGTTTTAATATATCTGTGTTTTAAGTAAGCTATAATATATTTCTATAGCGATATAAATACCACTAAGATGATCAACTTGACATTTATATATCCAAAGAATGCTTTGTAAAAGTATCCACTTGACCTTCTTTCAGTAAGTTAAAGAAGGGGAAACAATATAAAAAAAGCATTTATCGTTTACTTTTCCCTCATATTCTTTTAATTTGAAGCTGGAGAGTTTTTGCAGCAAATGGGTGTGGCCAATGTCTATTAGATTTAGAGAATGTTGGGACTCTAGTTTTCTTCCAATTTGTGAGAAAATGCAGTAGTTTCAGTTTCTTTTAAATCATTTGGATATATTATGTGTAGTAGTTTATCTTGTTGCTTGCTTCCTTAAAGATGAAGGAGATACAGTATTTGAACCTGTCTGTGTTTTGTGTGTTGACAGTATGTATGCGACAAGTTAATGGAAGTTTATGGGATTGAATGCTCTGCAAAAAATATCCTCAATCTCGACTCCAGCACGGCGGACAAATTCAGTCGGCATCTCATCTTTAATCTGAAAAATGCAGCTTTCAAAGACAACTTGCATATGGGTAAGGTCAGTGTTTTGCATTGAGGTAACAACACTTGTTTGTTTACCTCAATTTCAATTCATATTTCCTTGTTGTTTTTCAGGCAGGTTTATCCATTCAATTCTTCAATCGGTCCTGAGCACACCCAAAAGCAGCCTGAGTGTTGGGATGAATTCAGAGGAGAAAAACTGCGAAACAGGGTCTGTGTTTTTAACTTATGAAAATAACTTATTACATTTCTTAGCTACCATCATTTTGTGTAACTTGTCTTAATGACATATTGGCAGCAGAGCAAATGCTGTGTCTGAAGAGACGGCAGCGACGGCAGGGCAGACGTCTGAGAGTCCAGAGGCCAAGAGGTGCAAGCAGGAAGAGAGAGACCTCAGCTTCCTCCAGGTGAAAAACAAAGATGGCCAACACTGTCTCTTTGTTGATCTTGGTAAGAAAATCATACGCTTTTATTCAACAACTTGGGTTAAATGCTTCTCTTGATATATTCAGCAAACCTTTTTTGGTTGATTTTTTTGTAAACCTTTTTTAATGAATACATATTTCTCGTTATATTTTACAAAAACAGGTGTTTACACCAAGAACAGAAATTTCCGCCTTTACAAGTCATCAAAAGTTGGAAAGAACGCTGCGTTCACGGTGGCAGACGACAACGAGTTAATTCACAAACCTGAGAAGGGAATTTCTGCGGAGGAAAGCGTGTTCTTGGCTTCTTTAGTCTGTAATATAAGGTAAAACACTTTTTGCTGTATTTTCTACATTCTTTAAATATTACTTTCCTAAAGCCACATCCTCAGAGCTTGTTACTGTGTTTCATTAGCTTCACAGGTCAGAGAATTCTTACGTCAGACATCCCTGAAACAAAAAAATCCAAAACCTTGGGATCTCCCTGTCAGCAGGAATCAGCCACAGACCCAGGTAACACTGACGACAGAAGCCTTCTCTCTACTATGCAAACATGCAAAGTGTATTGTACAATTAGCTCAGCCATAATTGACCTCATATGTCTCTTTTATAAAAAGCAATATTTATTTCCCCATCCATCAGTGGCAGGCTCACTCTCGGGCCACTTGTCATCGCCTTATCCAGAAGTGGACAACTTTGTATTAACTGTGGTTAAAAAGGACGGCGTACATGGAAGTAAGTGTTTGGACTAATACATGAAATGCTTTTACAAAAAGTGGGTCACTTTCCAAACATTTGCATGTCTTGGTTCAGACCTAGAGCTGAATCCAGCTTTTTTATTATTGATTAAACGGCCGCTTCTTAATAAACTCATGATTGATCATTTTAATTTACAAGAAAAAACGTAATTGAACATGGATTGATTCAGTACCTGGCAACTAAATGTACATCAAAACGTAGTATATGGTCTTTGTCAGGAGTTTCCTCATGTTTAATTCAACAGGCATCAGACGATGGAACTACTTTGCTGCTGAACAGCTGATTGTCTACGACATCGCAAATTACCGCTGGTGTGCAAACGTGGAAAGGTTTCACAAAAGCAACAACATCATGTATGTATGTTTCAGGTTATATGTTGACAGTCTTAAAGTGCGCTCCACTTCCCTTCTGATTCTGTCTCACCTTCCTCTGCAGGATTGTTGTTGACCTCAAAGAGGAAGCGTGGTACCAGAAGTGTCTCGACCCTGAGTGCAGGAACTTCAGGTCCTCAAGTAAGCAATGATCCTAAGGGCCGCATTTAAAACAAACAACTCTTGCACACGTGATGTTTTTGGATTGACAGATTGCAAAATGGTGTCTGAGAACGTGTCTTTTGACGTTGCAGGCTACCCACTGCCACAGGAGATCTGCGTCAGCTACATCATGACACTGGTTTGCTTCTTTTTTTTTTTACTCCTAACTACGCTTAACTTGCCATGAAATAATGTTGTCTTCTTCTAAATCTCAAACCCATGTTGTTCTCCTCAACTTGCAGCAGTGTATGATCGTGTCTTCTCTTCTCTTACAGGACGAGGAGGACCAGGCCTACTTAATGGACGATGCCGGCAACATTGAACTCAGCCAGGCCTCGACCCCCCAGAGGACAGCGTGTCCAGAGCAGGGACCTGCAGACGGCTGGGGGGACGGGCAGGACGACCAGGACTATTTACAGAGCCTGGACGACTTCGAACAAAAAAGCGGGGATATCCCTGATCTGCTTCTGCTCAAATGTATGGCAGACTTTGACTCCCATTAGAGGGTGAGTCTTATGTTATTTTGCACCCACTTTACCAAATGTCCTCCTATTTATAATTGACTAACATGTAATAAATAGTTTATAAGCCACTATATTTTGCAAGCTACGTATGTTTATTGATTTGTCAAAAAGTCAAACTCCTTTTGTAATTGAAGCCAGAGGCCTGTACTACGAAGCTGGTTCAACCTAACTTGGATATGTTTGAGTTAGCCGGTTGGCCTAATCCAAAACATACGCGCTCTCGCTAAACTGTACTACGACGCTGGTTATCAAGTGGATCGCTCAAGCCAGCTGTGTCCTATCTAGTTAGGTGCACGTTCACATGAAAGGGGTGGCATTTGGAGCATTCGACCAATCACAAACATGGACAAGCGTACTGACAGCGCAGCGCGTCATACTTCCTGAATGAAAAGTCAACTATAATATTAGACATATGAAGAAGTTACACTTTAAACATCCATGACTTAAACACTTTATCCAGGATAAAAGCCACATAGCTGCACCGGCAAGGTGAATACAGCTGGTAAAAGAAAAAGTGTTTGAATGCGTACATTAACAGGTTTATGATATCACTGCCCCGTGGCTAAGACACGATCTGACTTTAATTACATTTGACTCGAGTGTTTCGTCAACTTAATGTGTCTTAAAATAATACTTCTGCATACAGTATGTGACACTGGGTGTTGCACGGCCAGATAAGGAAATATGATACATTATGAAGTGATATGCCGCGGACTGTACTGTTACTTTGATCCGGTTACTTATGTTGTGGCAGATATTTAATTAAGCTTTCTTAACGCTAATGTTATAATAGTCAGATTGCTCTGAAGATGGGAGGTGATATTCTATTAATGTTCACGTTCACACAGTCTGTGATTTTTGCCGGCCGTCTTTTCTGCAACGACAGCTTTTCTGTATTTCCTTTCTCCTGTAATATGACTTGATCGCTTTAAACTCCGCACACTGAGCTCTGATTGGCCAGCAGGCAGTGCTTTCACTGAGTTGAGCTCTTAGCCTGCAACCTAACCTGCTCCGGGGCAGGTTAGCCGCTCAGCATAAGTTACCATGGAGATCTAGCCTGCTAAGAAGAGAACCAGCTTCGTAGGACCGGAAAGCCGGAGTTTTCCCTGAAGTTAGCGGCTAAGCGAAAATCCTGCTTCGTAGTATACCCCCCTGGTGTATAAACGGATGAATGGATGACAATAAATACAACAGTTTGAATATAGGCCTTTTAGAGAAAAGGTCAATTGTTCATTTAAAGTATCCCTAATGCTGCCTTTTATCTAAGTGATTAACCATTTAGAGAAAAGGTTTAAATGGTGCTTATGAATGACTAATAGGGGGAGCAAAGTTCCTGTATAATGCTCTTCAACATCACAAAAATAGGTTTCTAGCTACCAAAACATAGAAGAAGAATGGGAGGGATGAAACCCTCTTTAATGGTTGCACATAGCACAGTGACATTTGGCCTCTGCATTTAACCCATCCTAGTACCAGGAGTCTAGTACTAGGAGCAGTGGGCAGCTATAGACATGAGGGATGTCTCTTTTTTTTTAGGGATCATAATTATTATTGTTCCCCTCTTTATGAAAGAAAAACTACCCTTCTTGGAGAAAGTGTTTATTTGGTACAGTTGAGAAAATAAAGACACTGTACTTAGCCGAAAACTGCACCTTTGCCCTTTTCATTTCAGAGTGTTTAAAAAAACATAAGAACAATATGGCTTGAAATGTCAAGGAGGCCTCGACGTGTTTAATGTCTGAGAACTGAGACATAACATCTGAAATCATGATAACTGAAATGCTGCTCCGTTTTACACTAAAAAGTTAACGTGAAATGTCGACAAGAACGTTAAATCTCTTTAAAAACGTGCTTCTTCAAATGAAAAGTGATCCATTCAATCTTTGTTGTTTCAAATATTTACCCAGAAACCTCAAGTGTAATACAACTGACGATCCTGTGACCTGTGGGAACCAAATGTGAAATAAGAGCAACATCATGTTCAGAAGAGTAACATTCACTATTTCCTGTGCAGTTAAACAAAAAAACACAAAAAGGCACCAAAAGTCTGTAAAGCTTCCCAAAACTAATTTCTAACTTGTGCACAGGAAGGGGTTCATCAGTCCTTCAGCATGGAGTCACACGGGAATGAAGGAAATTTAAACCGCAGAGTATCAGGCAAAATACTCTGCATACAAATAGACTTTTTAGCAGATACAATATTTACAGTTGAATGATTACATTAAATACCGACTTAAATAGATAGACCAAAACATTAATACTCAATATCAGTCACAGATGTAAAAGCGTGTTAATAGGATTTCTTTCTGTGGCTCCCAAGAATACAAAATTGGCAGAAATGCGTTTACCTTCTGACGGTGGAGAAGTCGAAGGCAGTTTTAAGGCATGAGCAAGTCAGATTTCCCCTTTGTGTGTTTTTAACCTCAACCCTTAGATAAGTGATTCCAGTAACATGGTGACAGCAGGGACCCTTTAGCGGTACAGGAACAATACATACTTCCTCCCCATTAACTATTTGGTTCTGGTGGTGTGCTCTGAATGGTCACCTTCTCTACTCCTCGATCCCAGTTTACATATTAATTTTGGCATAAAGTTCATCAATGTTCTCTTTGAAGCGGTTACGAATCTCAGTCCTCTTGGCCTTTAGGGTGGGGGTCAGCAGGCCGTTCTGGATAGAAAACAGCTCTGTGTGTAACGCAATGTCTTTCACCTGCAGAGGAGGAACAAAAAGCGGCAAATCAACATTTGATGCAGTGTCTCAATTACAACTAACATCTATTAGTAATTGCAACTTACAATTACTTTGTGAATTATTTTAATACAACTAAATATAGTGTTTTACAAGATAATATCTGCAAATAAGGATAGAAAAGTTAACAATAAAGACTACTACATCTTAATAATTGCACTGTATATTCTCACATATTGTAAGAAAACTACAGTCACAAAAATTAAAAGACAAGAAATAAACAAAGTATTTTATACTTTGTTTATTTCTTGTCTTTTAATTTGTATTGTACAATGCCATGCCATTATGCTGCTGCAACACAAACATTTCCCAAATTGGGATCAATAAAGTTCTATCTTATCTTATTAAAATGTAGTCCAAAAGTAATATTCATTATCCTTTCAAAAACTGATTCGATGCATTAAAATGTCTTAAACACTCAGACTATTGGTCTGTCAATGAAAATAATGACTCAACTAATCCTTTCAGATGTAATTTGAAAATTTGAAATAAAGAATAATTATTCAATCAAAAATGATGCATTTTGATAAAACATGGCAACAGTTACCTGCTCGAAGGACTTGAGTCCCGCCTCCTTGCCCAGCCTCAGGATGTCCTCCAGAATGGCGCTCTTCACATCCTACAAACAGTCACACACACGTTAGCTCACATAGCAAATGGCTGTGTGTGTGAGCAACGGACAGTGACACCTCACCTTGTTACTGCACAGTTCAGAGTAGGAGCCTTCGATCCCCTTTTTCTTCATCCAAATAGGTAAAAAGTCTGGATCAGGAATTACTATCCCCACCAGACATGCCTTAGAAACACAACAAGGACATCAGAGCCACACATTGAACCAAACTAGAAACTGATACTGCACATTATGATAAGAATATCTGATGTTTACACATTCATGAACTCACCTGTAAGCTTTCGCCGTAAACAAATATCTGGGCCACTGGATCACTGAGATTATACACCGTTTCTATTTTCTCGGGGGCGATGTACTCTCCTTGTGCCAGCTTGAAAATGTGCTTCTTTCTGTCAGTGATTTTAAGACAGCCGTTCTGCAAAAAAACACAAACAGGGTTTTATGAGATACACTTATCTATGGTCAGTGTATTTGTATAACTTTTATCTACCATCCTTTTTCTTTACAACATACTGACATTTTTATGACTTAACTATATCTTTAACACATACTACATATACTGGGATGTGCTATATTTGTTATGACTTAAAAAAACACTGTTTTCACAATTTGATGACGTCATAGGTTTAGCTGCTGCCCCCAGTTCACTGCATACAACAATATAATGCACGAGGTGTGTTACATGTACTCATAATTAAAGATGAATGGGCCCTTCAACATGTTCTACTTACAGGAAGCCACTTCCCGATGTCTCCCGTGTGCAGCCACCCGTCCTCGTCGATGGCCTCTGCAGTTTTCTCAGAATCTTTCAGGTATCCCAGGAAAACATTTGGTCCTTTGACACATATCTGGAGGGAGAGATGACAAAGTTAATGAAATTCACATTTTACAGATATTTAGAAGCAAGCACACGTGCAGATTATATCAAGTGTATATCAACGCTAGGGAGCAATAACGGTTACTCTGTTAATGGCACCATTTTAGTACAGATGGCAATATCTCAACAAATATAAGAGGGGAATTTTTCTGAAATGTCCAAACAGATATTTATGATGCCTAGAGAATAAATGTGACATTGGTTATCCTCTGACGTTTGATCCACCAGCAGGGCAAATATTTAACTCAACCTGTGAAATAGTTCACTATCTGCTGGATGGCTTGCATCATATTTATTGAAGGACATATTTCCCTCAGGATTAATTGCTATCATTTTAGGGATCCCCTCTAATGTGGCGCCACCATCAGACCATTTGTCCGACACTTGAGTTGTGTAGTTATTTGGTATTTTGCAGGTGTGATTTGTGTTTAAGACTCATTGCAAAAACATGGCATGTAAACATTATATTAGCTGAACATCAGCATTGTCATAATGAGTAGGTTGACAGTCTGTCTTTACTTTACTCTTAACCTAATGAAAAATGTGCTTATCCATGTGTTATTCGTGTTAAGATCTTTCTGCTGCAGAGAAACGTGTTTTAATAATAATAGTAATTCATATCCTACACTTTAATGAATGATTTATTGTACATTTTCCACTGTATTTTTATTAATTCTGCCTGATATGCAGCTTGTAGAGTAAGCTTCACTGACCATGTTCATTATAGTGAAGATGTCACATGTGCAAATCGTATTTCTGCTTTTGTATTCTTAAAAGTAATTGGTATGGCATTGAGGCTTCAAGTGAAGTCACTGTGGTTTTTGTTAATAATAATAATTATACTTTGCATTCATTATTTCTATCCAAACGGTTGTTAATTACAAAGCCAATAAATACTTTTTTCCTCCACTGACTTCATGCATTTGATTGTTACTGAATAGCACTCCTCACCTCTCCCTCTCCATTGGCTGCCATGTAGTTCATTTCTGCCACATCCACCAGTTTGATAGCGTTGCAGGGCAGAGGAGGCCCGACGTGACCTGGAGACACAAAATCATCACAGTTCAGTTTCAAAGTTCACAGAAAGAATTGTTTAAATTTCTCTCATAGGCTTTACTACCCGAGAACAGACGGGGGTTTTACCTGCGGTCCAATCCCCGGGCATGGACATGGAGCAGCCAGCGGTGCACTCAGTCTGACCGTAGCCCTCATAAAACTGTGGAGAGCAGAGCGGGTTTTTAGTGACATGTTTGAACATAAAACTAATTGATAAAGATTAGCCAAACGAATGCGAGATGGTGGAGTGGAGGCCGCTCACCTGACAGCCCAGAGCGGCTCGTAGGAAGGTGAGGATGGTCGGAGCCACCGGAGCCGCTCCTGTGATGATCAGTCTGACGCGACCGCCCAGACTCTCCTGCAGAGAGCAAACACAGGAAGACCATCGTTTGATGACATCATATCAATGGTAAATCAATTGTTCAAATGTCTTATGGGCTTGGAACTTGTGACAGGTGTTTATCTAACCTTTAATAAGAGAGTATGACTTTTCAACTCAAATATAAAATGTTTAAAAAGGGTAAGCAAAGTTCTGTAAGACCAAGCCTCATTCAAAGCCAGGGTAATATCTAAGTATCAGACTTTTTTTGTGGATGAGTAAGTTAAATAGGTGCTTTCGTTACCTGCACTTTTTTGAAGATGATCTTGTCCCACATGCTGTCTCTTCTGACCACACCAGTTTTCATCTCTGCCTCCTTCCGGCTGAAAGCGAAATCGAGCAGCCATCTCTTCAGCGGCGTGTTGGCTTGACTAAATATCTGTGGAGAATTGAGACACCTTATTTTAAAACATATATCGAACAAACAGAGCAGCAAACCAGAGAAATGGCACTTGTATAAATAAATGAAAAAGAAAAGTAATTACAGTCACAAAAGAAAGTTACTGAAAGAAATGCAAGAGGACATAGTGAATAAACATGCTCTTCTCCTAAATATGGCTTTGGTAGACTTTACAATGAGTGACATTAGATAAACTGACCTTATCAAACATGCGGTTGAGGAGTCGTGGGACTACAGGAAACACTGTTGGCTGCAGCGTTTTCAAATCATCCATCAAAAGTCGAATGTCCCCCTGGAAATAGCCGATTCTAGCTCCATGGATGAGGACGACACCCTGATGGAAAGAGGAAGTTACTCCTTGTTGCAAATAAATCAGTGGGACAATTTAACCACAAGAGGGCAATGTTGGTAAGATCTCACTATATAGTCAGTGTTTGTTATTCAAAACCACCACAAAAGCTGTTACTCGTCACATATCATTAAAACAGTTAAGAAAGACATGAAGTTGATTTTATACCTTTCAATACCCAATGTATTTTAGACAAACAAAACCTACTTATGAAACAGTTCACTTTAATACATTGCAACATGAATGTAATAAAGGAACACAGCCTAAAAGGATAACATTTCAATAATTGGGACAGCAGTGCTATGATTCTTAAAACTCCACTTATACAGAACATTTGAATGTAAACAAGTCCAACACCTACCTGAACCACCCTCTCAAACATGTGAGCTAGGGGGAGATAGGACACATGAATGTCATGGAGGTCCAGCATGCAGTGTACCTGCGGAGGACACACAAAGCAAAACACATGCAGGTACGCAGGTCAGGCAGGGCGTACTGTACCTCCACCACCCTCTCAAACATGTGGGCCAAAGGGAGGAAGGAGATAAGACAATCTTCAGTGCTGGGCTTCAGAATGGCCTGGACGACAACACGCAGGGGATGAGGATGAGGAGGAGGATGAGGAGGAGGAGGGGGAGGACGGCGAGGACGAACAGACACGAGAGGAGAGAAACAGATGTGAGAGGAAAGGAAAATATTAAAAAAAGGTGCAAAAAGAGGAGCTCCAACCTGAACGGAGACATCTTAGATTTTAAGCAACGCTCTACGATTACATTTTATGTGATCCAAATCTCATGATGGTTTAAGAAGTTGGGTTAGTACAATTTTACTAAATGTTTTTTATATTATTGATTTATTTGACAGTGCAGAGGATGCTGTTCTCTGCACAGTCAAAGGTAAACCATGTATAAACAACCTGCCCTATATGAATATAAGGTTTGCACTCACATGTGCACACATACATTTAAATATATAAAGCGATCTTAACGCATATCTGTATATATGTAGTGTCAACTGGTCAGTGTTTTAAATTGGTATCATGATAATTGTTTTCAAACTGTTACTTGCATATCTAATCTTATGTTTTGATTGTATTATCCTCTTATCTGGACTGCCTGTGTTTCACTCGTGCTCTGTTGCGGCTATCACACCTGAAATTCCCTACAGGAATCAATAAAGCTTTATCTTATCTTATGTGCTGTGTGAATTTGAAATGATGCAAAGTTAATGAATACATCCCACACAATATCACAGGTTTCATTAATGCAGAAAATAGTATGTGCTCGTTTACTGCAAAGAAGAATGTCCTTTACTGCTTTATGTTGGATGTCTTTATAGGCGGATATAAAGACTGTAAGCAAAACCGTTTAAAGGAATGATGCAGAGGAGGTGGGAGTACTTTCACAGCTGCAGTTTTACTCTCAGGCTGAGACAAAATGAACACAAACATAAAGGAAAAAGAGAGAGGGGAACACCAGTGGAAATGTAACTTTTCATTAATGAAAAAATGAATAATTTAGGAAAAGCAGAAGCCGCCACCTTACAAAGAAGAGGACTAACATCAAGCACAGTGACTAGACATTATGTCATTTATCTTAAGTTTCAAAGCGTAAATGTATCTTCAGGTTTAGCTGGTGTGTGTGTTTACCTCTGTTATTCTAATGAAAGCTGCAGTGTTGGAGATTACATTTCCATGAGTAAGCATTGCACCTTTTGGGTTCCCTGAAAAGAAAACGATGATTGTGATTATATGAGAAAAACATTTCCAAAGGATTAACGTCGTAAACAAGTTGTGTAATCACCTGTGGTTCCAGATGTAAAGCAGATCAGAGCGAGGTCCTCTGGATTGGGGGGCTGTAATCAGATCACAGGTCTACACTCATGCATATGAAGCTATTTCAATGTGCAATCCTTTGTTTTAGTACAGGGGTCTGACAGAGTGCTGCTGATTATAGGAGAATTATCTACTTTTAAATGATTATTCTTTTGTTGAAATTCAGTTTTTCGGCATGTCATCATCAGGTCAACTGAGGCGTGCTGTTACTACTCACCATTGGTTTCTGGAGGTTTGCTTTACCCAGGGCCTGGAACAAATATTAAAGGCACAGTGAGATATAACGTGCGCAGAGGGAGCTGATAACAATCTAGCTTCAAACAAACAGCGCCTCAGGTCCTAATTTCCATTTGGTTATAGCCACAACTAATCACTGTGTCAGATCTGCTGATGTTGGGCGTTCAGTAAACAGATGTTGTAATAATACACAGAAAGAAGATTAGCTGGTATTCTCACCTCAAACTCCCTTAAACTCAGAACCTCGATGCCGCAGTCCTGTCCACGTGTCACCAGCTCGCTGTCAAACGGCTCGATGAGCACGATGGTCTTCACCGTCCGCCCCTTCCCTTTGCTGCAGTCTATGATCATCCCAGCCTTTTCAGGTACATCACAAATCACCGTGGAGATGTCAGCTGGAAAAAACCGACGGCACAAATTGAACCACTTAGTTTGTATCAGTGTCGTCGATCTAGAGCGCTGCAAGTGGTGTGTTCGTTTGAAGGTGAACTTTTGTGTACCTTTTTCGATAATGTAGCCGATGGCCTCGGTGCCGAGTGTGTCGTACAAAGGGACGGCCACCATGGAGTACGTGTAACAGGCCAGCTCCGAAATGGTCCACTAAGAGACAAACACAGGAAACAGATAGACATTACTAAATGTTCATTTGAAGGGGATAGACTCACAAGACATACACATCCAGAGATTAGAGATTTTATCCAAAGCGACTTACAATAAGTGCGATAAACCATGAAGATACAGCAAGAAACATGCAGGTACATTTGCTTCAAATAGGCCGAACCATTGTAAGTGCTGGAAGCATTCGTTTCAAAGAGCTAAAACACTTTAAATGTATTTTGTGTGAAAAGGTGTAAACAATAGTTCTATATTGAGATATAACCCAAACTCCTGTGGACTGGAATACAATGTGCTTGTGTATGCTCACTGCCTGTAGCACTTCGGGATTTGAAGTCAAATATGAAGTGCTTTATAAATGAAACCCATTATTATTATTATTATGTTTGTTATTCATCCTGAATCCATTTAATCATCTATTTGACTCACTAAAATCAATCTGAGATTTAGAGGAGTGGAACCAGTCTCCATGTCGAGTCTCAAATTGTGAAACTAATTAACACATTTCTCACGTTACAGCTGTTCAGTCTTTGCTATGGACGATGGAAATTAACTCTTGCTTCTAACTAGTGATTGAAGACACACTTTTATACTTTGCATCTGAAATTATTTTAGATTTAAGCAACGTTAGAGATGATGCATTTTGTTGTACCTCTGGCCTGTTCTGGGAGAAGATCCCAATGAACTTGTCCCCGGTGTTGGAGTGTCCTCTGTGAAGGAGCGCAGAGCCAATGTGCTCCGCTCGGTCCACCACCTGCGCAAAAAAACAAAAGTCTGTTTCTAAATATATTGTGACTCTGCTAGGTTTGAATTATAGATAAGTTAAATTAGTTTAGATTTCCACGTCATTGTCCACGTCTCACCTGTTTATAGGACTGCCACTCGTACGGCTGGTTTGGTTTCCTCGATCCTAGACAAGGTCCATTATCTGCGAAAGGAAATAAATAAAGCTTCTTATTATCTACACTCACTGAAATAAATACATCAAAAGGTGATTCAAGAGAGACACTCACCTGATACCCGGAGCCCTCGTTGGAACACCT